GAGCTGGTGAAGGGGAACTGGGACACACAAGTAAATACACACAAATAAAATGATTCCCCATATGTTCCTATATTTTCAAGGTTTCTGTCTTCCCCCCCACTTCCCATATTTTCCCATATTTTCTGCGGAATCGAAGATTAATTGTGTCTGTGTTTCTTCCCATCCTGAGCTGGCCCGGGGATGGGAACCCTCGGGCCGGCATCGGCGATCTGCTGCCGATCGATCGGCGATACCGTCCACCCGTCGAGGCAGGACGCACGAGAGAAGGATGCAGGGGCCCTGGAGGGCCATGACGAGGCTGCTCGAGAGGGGCGCGGCCAGCGCAAGTGGTCAAGGACGGGCCAGAGGGGCAAGGATGCACGGTTGGTTGGCACCCACTGGCTCCGTCACGCGGTCATGCTCCTCCTCCTCCTCCTCCTCCTCCTCCTCCTCCTCCTCCTCCTCCTCCTCCTCCTCCTCCTCCTCCTCCTGGATACCCCCCCTGGGTCTGGATACCTCCCCGCCGGGGCACCAAAGCGCGCTCCCCCTGGGCAGCGCGATACATGCCGTGGCCGCGCCGCGCGCATAGGGGCCCCTCCGCGCAGAGCCGCCCCTCGTGTCCACACAGAGGGGCACGTGCAGAACCACAACGCGCTGGGGTTCTCGGGGACTCGGCCGACCAGCCTCGAGCTCATCCTTTCCTTCGAGCAGGAGAACGACTACAGAATCAGAGGCCTCCTACATGGGGTGGGAATAGATGGGGTCGGAGGATCTCGCCGCATCGCCGATGCATCGGCGATGCATCACATAAGCATCGGCGATGCACTGGCGATGTCGGCGATACATACCCGACGTCGGCGTGGAGAAAAATGGGCCCTACATCGAGCCGCATCGCCGATGCATCGGCGATGCGGCGCGATCCTCCGACCCCATCTACTCTGACCCATCTAGGAAGCCTAGAACGTTGGCTCGTTGGGGGCTCAGCTGACCAGCCTCGAGCTCATCCCTATCCTTCGAAGTAGGAGGTCGACTACAGAATTGATGTACCCCGAAATTGAAGTGTTCGTTGAACCTACGCAAAAGAAAAACCTGGCGAATGACCCAACCGTATGCACTTGTCAGTGCCACGTTGTGCGTACCGCTCTCGGTGGAGTTCCCTACAAGACCATGACCCTCGTGAGGGGTGTGCCGAAATGGGCGGGGGGGCGCATGCGGACCCTGCCGCGGGCCTTCGGTGGAGCTCCCTATGGGGCCACGATCCTCGTGAGAAGCGCGCCGACATGCGCGTGGGCATGCGGACCCTGCCGTGGGGGCCTTCGGTGGAGCTCCCTGTGGGGCCACGATCCTCGTGAGGGGTGTGCCGAAATGAGCGGGGGTACGCATGCGGACCCTGCCGCGTGGGCCTTCGGTGGAGTTCCCTGTGGGGCCACGATCCCCGTGAGGGGTGTGCCGAAATGGGCGGGGGGACGCATGCGGACCCTGCTGCTGGGGCCTTCGGTGGAGCTCCCTATGGGGCCACGATCCTCGTGAGGGGTGTGCCGAAATGGGCGGGGGGGCGCATGCGGACCCTGCCGGTGGGGTCGTCGGTGGAGTTCCCTGTGGGGCCACGATCCCCGTGAGGGGTGTGCCGACATGGGCGGGGGGACGCATGCGGACCCTGCCACTGGGGCCTTCGCTGGAGCTCCCTATGGGGGCACGAAAACGTGCGAGGAGTTCCGGAATGATGGACATGCGGAGATCAGAGGCAAGGAGGGGGAGGAGGTGGGAGGGGGCAGCAGGAGAAGGAGTGACGCGAGGCGCTGACTTTTCAAAACGAGGACCCAACACCAAAGGATGGCTGAGGGAAAGGAAAAGGAACAAAACAAAACGTCGACTGCTTGGTAGATGTACGAAAAATCGATGTTCCATAGCTTCGACCACGCAGAAACAAATTCAGGTTGCATCAAATTGTGTAGAAGATCTCCTACTCGAATCCTCAGGACCGACAAACGTAACGACGATGACAGTCTCCCGGACGCGCCCTCAGACAACCGAGGACATCTTAAAGATCGGCATCGAGACAAGGCGACGCCACTCACAGCGGAAGCGGAGGCGAAAGCGGAAGCGGAAGCGGACCTGCGGAGTGTACGCCAGCGGGGGCGTTGCAGGCAGGCGCCGTGGCGTCGAAATAAAAGCCGCGGCAGTCTCTGCGCGTGCTGGCCAGTGGGGACCGTGCAAACGAAAGGGGAGGGGAGCGGAGGGGAGGGACAGTGCAAACGAAAGGGACGCCACTCACAGAGATAGGGATGTGCTTCAGGCGGGAAGCCAGCGCCGCCCCAAGATACTCCGCGCAGGCCTCCGACAAAAAACCCGCTCCGCCGGCGGCGAGGAGAGGCAAGCCGCACCGGCGAATCGGGGCAACCGATGGGCCAGTTGTCCGGCGCGCAAGAGAGAGAGAGAGAGGGGGGGAAAAAAAAACGATATAATAATAATAACAAAAATAAAAATAATAATAATAAGAATGAGAATAAGAATAATAATAAGAATAATAATAATAATAACAACAATAATGATGATGATGATATTTATAATAATAATAATAATGATAACATAATAATAATGATAATAATAATAATGATAATAATAATGATGATGATAATAATAATAATAACAATAATACAAATGATAATAATATTAATAATAATAATAGTAATAAAAATAATAAGAAGAATAATACTGATAATAATAGTAATAACAACAACAATAATAACAATAATAACAACAATAATAAAGGCTGAGGCGAGGGCGGCCGCGCGAGGGGGTGGAGGGGGAGGGCGCTCGGGCGCGCAAGGGCTCCGCGGCGAGCGCCCGACGACCGCCGCAGGGCCCTGCTGCTCCTGCGGCTCGCGCAGGGCCGCCCGGCAATCCGTGGGTGGGGGCGCGGCCGCGGGCCCCAGGCCTGCGGGGCCGCGTGGCTGCGTGGGCCCCCCCTGGCCCCCAACGAGGAGGCGCGCCGCCGCCCCCGCGGGCCCCGAGGGCGGGGGCCTCGGCGGCCCCATGCCGGCGGTGGGCAAACCTCCCTTCAGTAAACCTCCCCCTCGTGAAAACGGCCTGGGGCCGAAACCCGCGGACCTGGACCCGCAAGAACTGACGGCCGCGACGCCCTCTCGCGGACCGAAAACGGCCGATTCCTTGATCGACGTGTCAGGGTGGGAGGTCTGTCCACCCCCGACCATGGCCCGGGGACGCGGCTCTCCATCCCGAGACCCCTCCGGTGGCAGCTCACGGGAGCCTCCCGTATTGCCGTCTCGTGAGCTCTCGCGAGTCGGCGCCAGAGATCGACGCGCATCGACGCTGAAATCGGCGCTCATCGACGCTGACCGACGCCAAATGGGCGCTATACCTCGTCGACCCCAGCCGCGCTGATCGACGCTGGTCGGCGCGACGGACGGAATTCGGAAGACCATGCTCCCATGAGTTGCTGCCGACGAGCCCCATGCCCGATGGCCCGGGGCCTCGAGAGGAGCCCAAAGAGAGGCCAAGATGGAGGACCCACGCCACGGTGGAAATGCAGTAATTCCGCCGAGGAGGCCCGCGTGCGTGCGTGCCTCGGGGGCGCACCCACCCCCGCGTCGGCCCTGCGTGGCCCGAGTCGGCCAAGGCCACGTCGCGAATGTCGGCAGGCCGCGTGAGAGAGAAAGAGAGAAGAAGACTCTTCCTCCTCCTCCTCCTCCTCCTCCTCCTCCTCCTCCTCCTCCTCCTCCTCCTCCTCCTCCTCCTCCTCCTCCTCCTCCTCCTCCTCCTCCACGTCGGAGGCGCATGGGCAAGGAAAGCCGGCGCCGACGCGACGGCAGCCGAAAGCCGTGCAGCACTTCGAGCACCCCAGCGTCGCCGACTCTGTGGGCAAGGCGTGTCTGAAAACTCGCACGCGCACATCCCCTCGCCATGAGGCCACGCGTGGCAGCGCCCAGACCCGGGTCGGCGGACGGACCCGAGGCAGCCAGAGGGGATCCGGAGAGGAGCCCGGACACCCGATGCTCCGATTGGTCACTACGGGGTCCACGAAAAAAAGGTCCCGACCCTGTCCTGCAGGGGCGGCGCTCCGTCCCGAGTCGCGTCTTGACGGCCCCGGGGCCCCGCGAGGGCTCCTGGAGGAAGGAAGGGCCGAAAAAGCTTCCGGCCCGACCTGTTCAAGGCGCTGGAGGTCTGGGAGACAAGGCTGGCCGACCACCGCTGGCGCCGATCCCCGTCATCTGCTCCCCTGCGGCGGCAACACATGGGGGCCTCCCACGCCATCTTGCTGGATCGACGCTAATCGACGCGAACCGACGCTGCATCGAGACTGCATCGAGCGAATGGACGCTACATCTTCGCTTTCCCTTTGACTACCAGGCGAAAGCGCACGCGGGTGCACTCTGCAGACGGAACGGCCGAGGACACACAAGGCTAAGGCTGGGCATGTCCTCCTACAGGCGGATCTGTGAAGAGAAATCAAGACTAGTCTTATGTCGGGCCTGTCCCCCTACAGGGGGATTTTCGACGAAAAATTGAAAATACCAAAAAAGTACACCAAAAATGTCAAAAAATACTCCAAAAATAGTTCCCCGACTATGTTTGGACTATGTTTTTATCATTCTGAGGATAGTTTCTATTTTTCGTCGAAAATCACCCGTAGGGGGACAGGCCCGACTGAAGACTAGCCAAACAAAGATTCACAAATGGTCAAAAACACATGGTCCAAAGATCCTCCCCGCATCGCTTGCCGAGCGTTCTCGCCTGCTCCTCCTGTAGAGGGGACGTGCCCGGCGTCACACGAGGCTCCCACGAATGTGCTGCCATTCGGGGATGGACAGACCCCCCTTTAGTAAAACGTGGTTTAGTGAAAACGACCTGAGGCCCAAACCTGGCGGGTGCAAGCCTGGAAAATAACGGCAACGGCGCCCTCTCGAAAACCGAAAACGGACAATTCACTAATCGACGTGTCACTGTTGGGGGTTCTGTCCACCCCCGAGCCGCACGCCGCGACGCGTGCTGCCCGCGGCCTCCTCCGGCTGCCAGCGCGCCGCGAGCCTCGCCGCCTCCGCCCGCAGCCCCGCGTCCCTGGGGAAGCCGGCCCGCCGCGAGGCGGCCACCCGCAGGCGGAAGGCGCGCCACTCGCCGCCGAAGCCGGGGCCCTCGCAGTCGAGCACGTCCACGACGCCGCCACCTCTGAAGGGGCCCTGGGACACACAAATGAATACATATATTTATATAATATGTATATATATCTAAATATATATGTATGTATATATATACATATACATAAGGATATAGATATCGATATCGATATATATATATATAGATATATATATATATAGACATAGATATACATACATATATATACATATATAGATATAGGTATATATGTAGATAAAGATATAGATATAGCTATAGATATAGCTATGTATAAATATATAGATATATATACATATACAGATATAGATATATATATATATATATAGAGAGAGATACATATATATATATATATATATATATGCACAAGAATGGCAGGATGTCCCAAAATATCCAATGTTTTGGAGGGTGTTGGTTCTTCCCCCCACTTCCCGTGTTTTGCCATATCTCCTAGGGAATCGACAATGAATTGAGTCTGTGTGCGTTCTATGGGAATCGACGATGAATTGAGTCTGTGTGTTTTCGTTTCCCTCCTGAACCTCCGACACCGTGCCCAGACCCCCTCGCTCCGGCTGGCCCCCAAAACGAGGCCCAGCTGAAGAGGGGGTGGTGCCGCAGATTTGGGGCGATTGATCTGCAAACGCACCGCGCCGGAGAACTGTATAGCACTGGATATTGCAACTCATGAATTAGATGCCCATTCTGGGGACCTTCCTGGAGCCACTCCCTCCACTCGTGCGTCGAACCTGAGTCGAACCTGAGTCGAACCTGAGTCGAACCTGAGTCGATCCTGAGTCGAATCTGAGTCGAACCTGAGTCGAACCTGAGTCGAACTTGAGTCGAACAGATCAATTAGGTGGGTCCCAGGAAGGTCCCCAAAACGAGCATCGAACATGAACTGCCCGCGAAAGTCCAGCAATACACAAGGCAGCAGCATCTCGAGGGCGGCGGGGCTTCTCAGAGGCCCACCGGCCTTCTGAGATCTGGTGGTCCCCAAACCCGGTGGTGAGAACACCCGGTGGTGAGTTCTGAGCGACTTGGGTGATGGTTTTCGAGCGCCGGCTGGCCCAGGAAACGCAGAACCTCGTGGCGACCGCGTGTCCCCAAACCCGGTGGTGACCCAGAATTATTTCTCTGGGGGAACGGGGTCACCACCGGGTGTCTCACCACCTGGCTTGGAGACCACCAAGGGATGTTTCTGCGTCTTCGGGGGAGCCTTCTCAGGATGCCCCCGAAGCTTCCCCCCCGGGGCGCGCCGCCGAGTGAAGCGGCTGCACGCAGGCCGCAGCGAGCGACCCTGGGCAAGAGTGACTAAAGGGGCCCAGGGACACAAATAGAGGCACGCTTCCGCACCACACGATGAGGCAAATAGAGACATAAACAGGGACAAGGACACAAATTGAGACAGCAATCCCAGGATTCCCAACACGTTTCCGCACATTCTGGGTTCTCGTCTTCCCCCCCCCCCACCACTTCCCATATTTTTGAGTAGCCCAGAAGGGGGGCCAACTGAAAGGGGTGGTTTGGGGCAATTGTATTGCGATTGTGTTGCGCCGGAGAATTGTATTGCATTGTATTGCAAGTAAGGCATTGCACGCGAAAGTCCAGCAATACATCTGCGCCCTGGGATGTATTGCACGCCCCAAATGTCTTGCAACCCCACATATCTACTGCACCAAATCTATTGCACCACCCCCATGTCGCTGGACCCCCTGTTGGGTCAACCAGAATATTCTCCCATGTGCTCCTGGGAGTTGACGACATCGCGTCCTCCTGAGTGACCTCTGGTGCGCGGCTCCCTGGGGGCCGCGGGGCGGACCAGACGCGCGCGCGCAGGACGCCACTGCCGCATCGCGCTCGGCGATCGGGGGGCCCCGAGGGGCCCGCACCAAAGGTCTCACTGCAGCGAAGGGACACCCCCCCTCCCCCTCCTCCTCCTCCTCCTCCTCCTCCTCCTCCTCCTCCTCCTCCTCGCCCCCCATCCCCCCCCCCTTCTTCCTCCTCCTCCTCCTCTCCTCCTCCTCCTCCTCCTCCTCCTTCTCCTCGCCCTCCTCCCCCCCTTCTTCCTCCTCCTCCTCCTCCTCTTCTTCTTCTTATTATTCTTATTCTTCTTCTTCTTCTTCTTATGTTTCTTATTATTATTCTTCTTATTATTATTATTCTTATTCTTCTTCTTAATATGATTACTCTTCTTATTCATATTCTTATTAGTATTATTATGTTTCTTCTTATTCTTCTTATTATTATTAATCTTCTTATTATTATTCTTACTATTATTATTCTTAATATTCTTACTATTATTATTATTCGTATTCTTATTATTAGTATTATTCTTATTATTCTTATTATTATTATGATTAGTCTTCTTCTTATTCTTCGTATTATTATTATTCTTATTCTTCTTATTATTCTTATTATTAGTATGCTTCTTCTTATTATTCGTATTATTCTTATGTTTCTTCTTCTTCTTATTATTATTCTTATTCGTCTTCTTGTTCTTCTTCGTCTTCTTATTATTATTCTTATTCGTAGTCTTATTATTTTTGTTCTTTTTCTTAGTCTTCTTATTATTATTATTATTATTCTTATTATTCTTCTTATTCGTCTTCTTCTTCTTATTCGTCTTCTTCTTCTTCGTATTCTTATTATTATGATTATCATTATTCTTCTTATTATTATATTTCTTCTTCTTATTATTATTCTTATTCTTCTTCTTCTTCTTCTTCTTCCTCCTCCTCCTCCTCCTCCTCCTCCTCCTCCTCCTCCTCCTCCTCCTCCTCCTCCTCCTCCTCCCGTAGCAGAAGGATGCGCGATGAGGATGCAAGGGCCTTGGACGCACACTCCGAAGCTGTTCGAGCGGGGCGCGGCCAACGAAAGTGGCCAAGGATGGAGCGAGGAGGCAAGGATGCAGGGGTACCACTGGGCAGGTTGCCCATGCGTGCTGTGCGGGCTGACTGTACGTGTAGACGGAGCGTAGGGCCCCGACGTCGTGATTTTTTTTTCGCAACGTCGACCCCCCGAGGTCCGGACCCCTTCCCCATGGACCTGTTTTTCATCGGGAGTCGCTTCTTTGACGGCCCCGAGGCCCGGGAAGGGCCCCTCGAGAGGCCGAAAACAGCGACAATCGACTCCCGCCGTGATTTTTGCCACAGCGCGAGGGGGTCTGGCAGGAGAGACCAGAATCGATAAGTCGGATCGGCGATCGAAATGAATCGGATCGGCGGAAATCGGCAGCCGAGTCGGGAGAAGTCGAATCGGCGGCAATCGGCAGGCTGGTGGGCCTCCGCCGAGGCATCGGCATCCACATGGGCACCTGCCACCGAATCCATCGGACCCGGAGGCCACCGAACTCCAATCGGCTCGGATCGGAGGAATCAAAATGAGCCCCGGAGGGTTTGGACGCCCGAAACAGGTACGGAAAGAACGGGTACAATGCCCAACCACAAATATTGTCCCAAACCGACAGCGGCCGCTGTTGGGCAAGCGGCCTTCTGTCTCGAACGGACACGGGCCGCGGCAGCGCGGACAGCGAGCCCTGTTCAAAGTGCACGGGAACTGCTGCTGGGCATCGCACCCCTTCTTTCCGTACCCATCTCGGGCGTCGAGAGAGGGGGCCCGGGGAGCAGGGGAGGAGGAGGAGGAGGAGGAGGAGGAGGAGAGAGGAGGAGGAGGAGGAGGAGAGGAGGAGGAGGGGGGGAGGAGAGGAAGGGAGGAGGGGGAGGGAGGAGGGAGGAGGGAGGAGGGAGGAGGAGGAGGGGGGAGGAGGGAGGAGGAGGGGGGGAGGAAGGAGGAGGGAGGAGGAGGAGGAGGAGGAGGAGGAGGAGGAGGAGGAGGGAGGAGGAGGAGGAGGTGAGAGGAGGAGGAGGAGGAGGAGGAGGAGGAGGAGCAGCAGGGCCGGCCCCCCCCCCCGCGGCGCCTGCCAGGCCCAGGGCCCCCGCGGCCAGCCGCCGCCGCACGCCGCCGCGCGGCGCCGCGGGCGGCGCGCCGCCGCCGCGGCGGCGGGCCGTCGCGGCGCGGCTCGCCCGCGGCGGGCCGCCGCGCGGCGCGCGCGCGCCGCCACGCGGCCCGCCGCGGGCGGGGAGGGGGGGCGGGGAGGCTCTCCAGCCAGGGATCGACCCAAACCGCGCTTGTGGTGCTCGTTCTGCCTCTCGGCCTCCCCTCGCTGCGTTGTCCCCTCGCTTCGTTGTCCTTCGTTGTCCTTCGTTGTCCTCGTTGTCCTCCCCTCGCTTCGTTGTCTTCGTTGTCCCCTCGCTTCGTTGCCGCTCATTGCAAGAGACGCCAGACACGGAACGAAGACGGCCCACGGCCTCGCCAAAACACCGTGCATGGAGGCATCCTGGATGGAGTGCGAGCAAATGGGGTCGGAAGATCGTGCGTCATCGCCGATGCACTAGCGATACATCGCCGAAGCATGGACCATGCATCGGCGACGTCGGCGGTAGTGCATCGGCGACGTGTCCGCCAGGCGATCCGCCGGATGCTGCTCGGGGGCCCTGGCCGAGCAGAGCTGCACGCGCCCGAGCGATGCCGAGGCTGCGGGCCTCGGGTCTCGGGCTCTGGGCCCTGGGCTCCGGGCCCGGGCCTCCCGAGGGCCGGAGGCGCCCGCGAGGCAGAGGCCTCCCAGGGGGGGTCGGAGCAGGCGGGGTCGGAGGGTCGCGCCTCCTCCTCCTCCTCCTCCTCCTCCTCCTCCTCCTCCTCCTCTCCTGCCTCCTCCTCCTCTCCTCCTCCCCCTCCCTCCTCCTCCTCCTCCCTCCTCCTCCTCCTCCTCCTCCTCCTCCTCCTCCTCCTCCTCCTCCTCCTCCTCCTCCGCCCCCTCGCCGATGCATCGGGGCGCCGTCGGCGTGGAGGAAATCGGGCGCCACAGCGAGCCGCGTCGCCGAGGCGTCGGCGATGTGCGGCGCGAGGTCTCCGGCCCCAGGCAGGCGGGCCCCACGTGGGAGGCCCAGGAGCAAAGGGGTGGGGCGCGGAGGGGGTCTCGCGGCCAGGGCCAGCCGTGCTTTCTCTGCTAGGAGTGCTCGGCATCGACGAGCACGC